CGGGGGTCAGAGCGCCTTCGGCGCGCGGTGGCTGCCCGCGACGGGGGTCGATGTGGGGCTGTTGGCGGGGGCGACGCCCCTCCGACGCTTATTGAGAAATTCGGAGTAGCCTTGATCACCAAAAAAAAATCGTGCACCGAGAAAGTACCGAAACTTCAGGGTGTTCACGTGTCGGGCCCTGGGAGGCGATACCCGTGTTCGACACCGCTTCGATACAGAATTCTGGGTGTTCGAAATCATTTCCGGGATGTGGTCCTTGAGTACGATGGGCACAGAGTAAGTCCAGGTGTAAATGATCATGTACGTCTGGATCCCCGATTGTGCCACAGCCGGCTCTGCTGCAGGGGGGTTGGGGGCGGGGTAGCAGCGGTAACGGTCGCCGACATCGGTGCTCAGCGTTGTTCCCGGCCCCCCCTCGCCCACCACCGCTTGACAGCACTTGACCAAGAGCTTCCTGCCCAAGGGCTCCGGCTCAGTCAGTGCAGCGGCGGTAGTCCGAGCATCATCTTCGGGCGAGCATCTCACGAACCCGTACCCCATCGATCTGCCGTAGGCTGTGCTATCCTCTGTGACCACGTCGCGCTACTCCACATTGCTCGCCTGCTTCATGTGGTCCGTGAGGGCGCGCCAGTCGACGTTGCACGAGAAGTTCCCAACGTAGACCTGGTAGGCACTGTTCCCCTCTCGGCCTCCTTTTACCCCCTTCTCGCACTGACCACTTCGAGCCTGCAGCTGTTGACGTTCTTGTTGGCTGCCACTGCTGTCCCTTATCGCACTCTCCACACGCCCCACCTTTGGCTGCCACTACTTAGCCCTTCTCTCACGCGCTGCTCTAAACCTGTGGCCGGTAACGTATGGGATATGTTTCCCGCCGCGCTGCGTACTGCCCTTGTCGCCCCCTCTCTCGCGCGGCTCATACAGAGCATGTAGCTTTTGTGGTCTGGAGCCCGTCTTTGTCGAACGTCTCCTAATCCTTCACGTCCTCATCGTCGCCGTGAACCGTATCCTCGTCCTCCACATCGCTGACGAGGGCATCCTCGACCT